GGGAAAGAAGCAAAGCCAAAAGACAAATATCACCAAGGTGAGTAAAAAGCTCCACAGGCTTAGTCAGTTATATTTTAAATTATCCCTACTGCAGACTTGCACACCCACTGTTTTTGGCTTGGGAGCTGGATGCCTGCTACATTAACTCTCCTCTTGCGTACACCTCGAGCTACTACCAACACATAACAGTGCTCTCTGCTTCTAACAAGGGGATAAAAGTCAAGTTAGTGGCTCAGATTCATCTCTGACAGTCTGGTACAGACTAACGATACCATCTGCCTCTGAGCTCCCTCCTCATATTTCAGCCTAAGCATAAACATGCTGTTCATAGGCAGTCATCATTTTAAGCAGCCAAGAATTTACCATACCATGTAGGTACAGTCACAGTCTCTTTCAAGGGAGGGATGCCCCCCCCCAAAAAAAAATAGAAAATGGAGTAGCAGCTCAGAACGCTGCAACAGGACTACAGAAGAACAGAAATTAGGATAGGGTGAAAGGAACAATAAAAATCCCTCCCAAGATACCAGCCAGTGAAAGCAAGACAGTGCAAAAAGGAGGAAACAAAGGTCTAGTGTTCTCACTCACCAGATCTGATGTGGCTCGAGCACTACCAACGGAAGTCATTACATCAGGCATACAAACATATGAAAAGCCATGTGGTTGTTTGCTATTCAAAGTAGCAAAGTATGTACACATAAGACTAAAACAAACAAATGCAGTGCATGCATCTTACTACCTGAACACTACATTTTAGAGGAGACTTCAGAGCATCTTCATTTTATGCAGGTCAAATTGAATTTGAATATATGAATGGAAAATGAAAAATAAAACTTTACAATGTCAGGCAAACAGAAGAATGATCACCAGAAATCTCTGCCACTTAAAACAAGTGAGGGCAATTTTATTTGAGAGTTACTGTTAACAGGGAGTTTTCATTACAGGAACACTGTGTCTTTCCCCCCCATCTATACTCCCTTAGACTGCCCGGAATCCACCCCCACTCTTCTACTGGGAAGCATCATTCCACAGCTGGCCTCATGCCTGGTTCCAAGCTTGTCATCACAAGGAGAGTCACGTTTATAGCACTCCCTCACATACCAGTGGGAAATGGGGTCGTGAAACAACAACAAACACTCCCGCTCACACACAGACCCTATGGACACAAATGCTTCAGAAGTAGCCAATGCATACGGGAGAGCAGACGCCCTATATCTTAGATAAATGTTATTTCTTTTTAAAGGAGAAACCTGGTCTGCTGCAGTATTATTTACCTGCTCCTGGAAAACAAGCAACAAGGTCCCATGAAAACTATTAATTCTTTTAATAGATAAATAGAATACCCAAGTTAATAATGAGAATAATACTGTTGCTCTATTGCCTTCTTCAACGTATGAGAAGAAAATTCAGTGTTAGAAAGCAGCTGAAGTTTTACTGCCAGTTCAGTGTACCACAGGAGTCCAAGTGGAGTCCAAGCAATGGCGCTATTATCACATCACATTACAGGCAAAGCTATCCTGCCAGCTCAGGGAAGAAAAATAGACAGCCATAGACAAAAACAATCATTTGTTAAATTTCCACAAACAACAGATGTGCACAATACAAAAGGCTACACGGTAGCTTTCCCCTCAAATCCCCCACCCTACCCTCAAGCAGATTGTCTTTGCAAGATAAACACCTTCTCTGTGTATGCTGGTGACTGTCATTGTTTCAGGATGGGCCCTCGCAGCAGAGCCTGTTACAATCCATGTGCCATTCAAACCTGTTCATAAGAGAGCTGCAGAGATTTAAGAAGCAATAAAGAGAACACCGACTGAAAAGAAAACCCTACCCCAGTGGAAGAATATGTCAGGAATAGGAAACTGAAACTGCAGGAGGAAGAAAGCCCAGAGCCTTTAAAAATTGTAAGGGAACAGCAAGAAAACATCTCTATGTGCATTATTGATTAACGAGTAAGGAGTCCATAAGCAACTAAACAGTGAAAGTATTTTTTGCCTTCTGCTTATTTTTGAAGTTTTGCTTGCTTCATTTCTACCCTCACAACTTTTTGTTACTGGAATTCAGAAAGAGCTTGTATCCTCCTTTCTTTCTACCTTCTCCAAGTTCCTCTTGAAGTGAGCTTATGTCATGCAAATGAGTTTTTTCTATTGTGGTTTTTTTTCCCCTCCCCAAAAAAGAATTCTTACAAAATGGAAGTATTAGATCTGAACTACTTGAAAGAGAACCCCAGTCCTTCCAGTATAGAATTCTGTTGTCGATATAAAAATAAACTGCTGCCTACAGTCTTGCCTAGAATAACATATCCTCCTTTCAAATCTGGTAACTTGTTAGTTTAAAATAAACTCTAAGCACAGTAACATCCAGACCTGCTTTTATTACAGTATGTAAGACCTCTTTTAGACACTCTCTTCCACGTTCATAGAGTTCAAATATTGCCAAGGATGGCATACATCTCAATTTTGCACAAAACAAGACAAGAAAAGAATGTCTACTCATTTGATTGCAAACTGGGACTTTTCAGCTTGTGAATCATAAGATATGCAGGAAAAGCCTACAGGGCTAGACAGAACAATAGCTTCTGTTTTAAAGAGTTCTTATATTCAGAATCAATCTGCTAGAGGGTTATTAGGCAATTATCTTTCCTCTGCATGCATCTAAATTCCACTAACACTAATCACACATAGAGCAGATAACATAGTTCTTTCTGTAGTCCACTCCTGCAATCCATCCCCATTGTACAGTTTTCCATAACACTTTTTAGACTAAAGATTCCCCGAGACAGAATTCCGCTTTACAAGTTTCCATCCCTCATATCCTGTTTCTAATAACTGTGATACAGTTTTCTGCAGTTCTCAGCTTGTAAAAGCAATAGATGTGAGGAGCTGAAACACAAATAAGCACATGGATATGCTTAAAATAACAGTAGTGGTAACAGTGAAAAGATCAGAAACTTTCCATTCACGCAGTGCTATTTGCAAGTGCTTTCAAAGCAAAACTTCAGACAAGACCTCATAAACAAATCTGAGGATTTCTCCAGAAAGTTCTGAGTTTCATCACTTGAAAGCATGCGAGTATTTTAGGAACAAGGTAAGTAGCTGGTAATGAATGTGGAAAAAGCAAACACCTGATGTGAGAATTTGAGGAACACAGCCAAGGGTATTACTTGACTGGATACACTGAGTGCACATAATGTTTTAAATGGCCTCACGTTTCTCTAGGTTTTCGGAAGTCACCACACGTCACATGCCAATACAGCGCTCGGTGTGCCAACACCGACGGTGCGGGGCTACAGGCAGCTGTTTCTGGGAAGCCGGAGGACACCGCGGCCGGTGGGCCGGGAGACCCGGCTCTCTTTGTTCCGGGAGCCCCTCGCGGCCCCGGGGCGGCTCCTGCGGGTGCTTCGCGGGCGGGAGCGGCTGAACGGCAGGCGCAAGCTGGTGTGCGACAAGCCACCCTTTCCCGGTACCGCAGAAACGCGGCAGGCGCCGCCTTCCCGCGGGCACCGGGGGCTCAGGAGCATTTCGGGTTTCGTGATTCACCGGCAGGAACCGTTTCCACCCCACCACCACCCCCCCCACTCCAC